TATCTAAATGAATAGTGACGTCCGGCCGTGAAACCACACGACGCCGACGACGACGTCGATTGAGGTAACGCGTCGCATTTGAAAACGTATGTTGGAAATGTATGTTGAAACGGACATGTATGTTTACATATATAAGATATCTGTGGAGGATATACTGTCATTTACATGCCGTATATTATGCCTGTCAATTAAATTATTTGACAGCGACCCTTTTTCTGTTGTTGGATAAATAATTTTTGGTTTGCAAATATTTTGGAGAAAATTTTCTCAAAATTATTTTCTTCTCAAGACTCGTTTCCTATGATATTTCCTACAGTGGACGTAGGAATTACTATCGTACAAATTGTACCGTGCCGCGAATTTATGCGTATAGTTAGTGTATTACGGTACAGCGTGGTATAACTTAGGCAGGAATAACAAGAGTGAAACTACGCTTTTTACCTAATAATCTCGTGTCCATTATATGTGTCACGGTAGACTGGCACTTTACGCTAACGCGAGGAATTGGGTCTTACGCGTCTAGTTACGTACAGGTAATAACTTTTTCAGTGCCAAACAGATAAAGTAACGGAAACATAGAAGCGGAGGGAAAAAAGGTTGTAGATCAGATATTATGGTATTTCCACAAAAATGAATAACTACACACACACATATGTTATAAGGCCCATTTTTCTTGGAAATTCGTTTAATCCAGTATAGTATACGGTAGCACGTGCCAGATTTCCAATGGATTGTTGTTCGTTCGCAATCGGATATTCTTTTTGCTCTCCTCATCAGTTTTTTTCTTCTTATTTTTAAACAGAAGTCCCTGACGTCCAACGAGACAGACGAATTACGTCCACTATAGAGAGGAGACTTCATTTTTTTTTATAATTTTTTTCTCTCCAGTATCTCCCTCCTCCTAGTTGTGAAAGTCGTCGATACGAATTACAGCGATGTCGTCGGCTCCATTGTGTCAAGGTAGTCAGTGGGTTCCGGGGTGGAGAGTATGAGAATGCATGAGAGTGAGAGGGAGAGAGAGAGCGACAAGAGAATAAGAGAAAGAAGAAACAAGAGAATCAGGTACTGGTAATTACCAAGAAAAGAAGCCGGCCCTGAGCGACGGTCGCCTATTGTTTAATTGAAACAATCAAGAGGCAAGCTTGTCACGCTTTTTGTCGTGGTTGTCGAAGAGAAGAGAAATAAGAATAAAAAATAATAATAAAAAAGGATACACGAAAGAGAAATAGCCCGAAGTAAACGTATCCAAGATGAGTATGAGGTCCATCTCATGCAACATATATCCACGTGTGTTGTGCCCGCGACCCAATAGGTTCTATATTGTTTCTATCCAAAAGATTCAAGGATGCGCTCGTGTTGTTTCAGTAAATAGTTCAGAAGTTCTACATTGCCACAGAAGCTTCAAGCAACTTTGTTTACGCGGCCTTGTTTCGCAGAACTCTAATTCTAAATAAACTTCCGGATATAGTGAGCAAAGTAACTATAACGCATACCATCCAATAGCAAAAATAATGCAAATTCTTTCTAGAACCTAGAATACAAAAAAAAAGACTTCCAAGGAATCCCACCAAAGAAATCAAATCTCCCTGCTGAGATACCTACTGAAGTTCAAAGTTCAAAGAGTAAAGCAAAGTGCGCCGGCGCGTGACTTAACGGCTTCTCGTTCGCATCCCCGTCTGTCGCAGACGGCAGGAACCTCTTTTTGAATTCCCTTTGCATCAACGTTCGAAAACTCGGCACATGACTTAGTCGTTACTACACTGAGAAGCATGGGGATTCGAATCCTCCTTTGGTCTCCACTTCACTCCCCACTACCGTATGTATTCGTATGTAACTTTAGTTCTTATACCGTAAGACCACGTCCCTCGCGTTTCAGTTCCTCTTGTTCCCGTTCCAGTTACGCTTTCGGCACGGGCCAGGTCGGCCCAACGCCGCCGACACTCCGGGGATAGACATTTCGCACAGCCGGCGTTCCAGAAGTTTAACTTTATACCAACGGGGGAGGACGTGATCCGCGCCATATGTGTCATCGAGAACGTGGCCCATCCCCCACCTACCACTCTAACCCTCCTTCTTAGGCATCCTGACATCCCCTCGAAACACCTATGACAATTTGCAAAATGTTAACACAAGGCGCAATATACATTTTGCAAAACGTTTTTAGGCGTCGACATTACAGAAAGGACTGAAGACTTTCCACAAGCGATCATTAGAAATTCGAAAATGGAAGCGCGGCGATCGTTTCGAAACACTTGAGAATTTCGTGTGAATTATTTTTTATTAAAAAATCATATTTATGGTATTGCACGTATAACGTGCGTAATACTGAGGAAGGACTAAATTTTTTGGTTTAAAAAAAAGTTGTCGCCATTTTTTAAATATCTTCATTTCTATTGGGAGGCTGGTTATTTGAAGAATTTCGAAATGCGTTATAATAAGGGAACAAAGGGGAACGGATAAGGCGTGCAAGACTTCGTAACGTGGCAATAAAGCGGGCAATAACGTGACTCGTGGTTTGCACGTTTGGGGTTGGTTCGCTGCTGGGTGGTTAGCCAAGAGGGTGTTGTAGACTGTTGTAGACGGCACTGCCGGTAGGAAGTGGGGATGCTGGATATGTAGGTGCGGTACTCATAGAGACGTCCGGTCGACCAATTACTCGCGCATTAAATCAATGTTCCTTGGGCGAAACCGGTAATAAACCCTGACCAGACATATCTCCACGAGTCCTGGTGTTCAACCCTCTGATATCGTGCCGGTATCCCAGCCACCCTCCTTTTACTACTGTCGATAGGAAGTAGAAGAAGAAGGACGCGCGGAGCAGACCGGAATGCGCCCTCTGTCGTAATATTTGGCTTTAAATCATGTTCCGTTGACAGCATCCAGGAACCTCATCCTCGGGAACCTTCGGCACCCGGTTTTCTGGCTGATTCACCCAACTAACTTCTAAACACCCCTCGTGGCATCCCTCGAGTTATGAACTATTGGGACTGATTAAAATCTGGGGTGGATACTTGCGAATTTCTTAATGAATTCACATAATGTATTATATTTTTTGGTAAATGTGCGATATGCCTATTCGTTCATTTCTAATGGCAAAGCTTGATAAATAATACATATTGAAATACATGCGTTGCACGTGATGTATCAGTGAAATGCATATGTAATTTTTAACAAGATAATCATCTAAAATACTAACTGAAATAACTCCTTATGGTAATATTGTAATATTATAATACATTTTATGTTAGAAGAATGTATGTAAATTATTATATTTTTTATTATTGTTGTTATTATTTCATGCCTGTCACAGCATACATGGTCATGTACATATGGGGCTATAGAAATTTCGTATGGCTTTCGTATACCCTTTTCCAGTGAGATTTATATATTTTCCAACAAATAATAGAATTTTAATTGCAGATTGAACTCATCTCGTTTACATATGAGCATTCAGATGAACTGAAATGATCCTCCGCCTCTTGGAAAGGAGATCAATTCTAAGATGCTTAGAATACGAATCCATTTTGTCCATTGTGTCCGTTTGTAAGGAAAATGCATCTTCTTAGATTCCCGTGAAATTTCATTGTTCGTCCATTTATTGGATACCACCTGTGTCTAATAGGATTCTAATGATGTCTATAGATATACATATGAGTAAATGGGGCGGACGGGAGAGGGAAGGTAGTTGTCGGGGACGGTTTGCAAGATAATATGCACCTGGCTGAGCAGCGTCAAAGGAAGAACAAACTCTTGCTGGAATGCAATGCGTCTACAAGATTTTTTAATCTTTACATCGGCGGATTTAGTACTTAAGGATCCAGATAACACATGGCGAGCATAAATCTTCCTTTACCTTTTTCTACCATTTTTTTAGTGCCGTTTCGGTGCATACCTACTCGCCGCAGATTCTTTTATTTCTCTGGCCATCTCGCGGACGCAATCGCAAGTAGGCATGTACACGTGAGTAGGCATGTGCGACAGAATCGCATGAAATATTATACATTCATCTAAAGGCAACTCAGAATTCATATCGCCATCTTTTATGTTGTTTTAAGAAACTTTATTTTATTCATTTGTGATATCAGCTACGTGTGTAACTAATCAGCGTATACTTATGCTTACCGGGTGGGCTGACCTGACTTAACCTAACTAATAGCCTAGAAGTGTTTAATCCTATTTTCCTAGCTGTACTTCATTGCCGGAGATGGTCTTTCTTATTCCTCTGGATGTCTTACTTCAGCCAGCTATGATATTCTACGACCGAAATTCTCAGGAAATCGCTAACGCTCTCTCCCAGAGATTAGGAACGTGCGCCATGGCGCACACACAATTTACGACGGCGATCTTATTCATAGCTGAGCTTTCATATAAAAGCTTTTCCCTGTAAGCTGCGACACGGGCTTTGGGCTGAGGGCAACGCACTTCGTTCGTGGGGACTCACGCCCTGGCGAATTAGTCGACCTCAAACTTCGCGCCCATCTAAGAGTCTCCCTTCTCTTTCGGTGGAATCATGCGAGTCGAGGAATTTCTGTGAAAAAAATATATATTTTATTCCTCAATCGCAAATTGGAGCATGAGCTTTTATTGGTAACGGATTAATTGTTATGGGTAGGCTATTAAAATAATTTTTACAATTTCTGAAATATGTATGCGAACTTGAGATAATTAATTTTTGTTCTTTTACAAAAGAAGATATACAATTTACATACTCTCGTTATATTGGGCTACAAACACGTATGGAAATGCATTATAATACTCAAAAATGTATAATGGAATGTTTTTCTTGGAAATTGAGTTATATGCAATACGTGCAATCTGCCTGCACGAAAGTGTCATCATGACTCATTCGTATACCGCGGAAAAGTTATGACGTATTCAGTGACTATTGAAGCATGAGGAATTATTGACACAGAGTTAATTAATAATTACCTCCATAACTTGCAGTAATTGCATATTATGTTATATACAAAAGTTGGTAATTCCAATTTTTTTTTTCACAGGTATCGGGAAGATGCTCTCTGCTGGACGGATAGGTAAGCTCATAAATTACTTTTTCCCATATATAAAATAAGTCAAATTGTAAACGTGAGTTAAAAATTGCACAGTAGAATATTTAAATAATTAATTAGTGAGCGTAATATCGGTGAAACACTTATTAAAGCGTAAAACTATATAAGATACATAACTCCTTTGGTAAGCCGAAAAACAGTGTCGCCATCCATCACAGTAAATTAACGACTATGTTGCAAAGCAAAACACCATTAATAATTAGCGAAACGAAATTTCTCTAAACTTTTAAGTGGTCCAGTACTCACGATCCGCTAAAAGAATGACAGTACTTGCAATATACTTATATTAAATGTCTTTCCGAAAATGTCGTACCAATCCAAGAGTCAGTTAAAGAATCGGAAGAGAGTGAATTTAAGATGTGAGAATAAGAGGCGCGCGCACCTTCACTTTAAGAGCGTTAAGAGTGCGCGCGCTAAGATAAACGGATAATTGATCGTTTCCACGGCGAAATTAATCGTTGGCCGCGGGTCAGGATCGCGATGGGCCCTGGAACGAGTGAAGGAAACGGTACTTATGCAGCAATGTGGTTTTCGAGGTTAGGTGTAATCAGTCTGAGCAAAGGTAGGGGTAGGTAGCGAGATAGGTAGGTAGGTAGGCAGGTAGGTAGGTAGGTAGGTAGATAGGGTACCAACCTCTTTACGTGAACGATAATAATTATTTGCGTCAGATTTTGATTGATGGTGCGCAGAGGCTTTCTTAGGAGGCGAAATTAAAAAAAAAAAAACGCCATATATAACCAAAGACGTTATGTACGTGTGCATCTGCATCAGTGTAATCATGGGCTTTATGAGTTCTTGCATATTTTCGGATTATACCACGGAATTGAAAACAATTAAAAGAAGAGTTATTGGTTTGAACGGAGGATGGGGGGAGGATTCAAAAAAGTGGCGGGAACATGAAAACGAACGATCATGGTGCGACGAAAAATCGAAAACGAATGAGCGGGAAAGGGATAATTAATGGTGGCAGCGATCTCAGTGCATGGGAGTCGCGTTGCTGCAATTAACCATAACCGATCGGACACTAATTGCGAACAGCCGAACCTCGGTAATTAATAACGCGCGTGACGTTATCGGGCCCAACACCCCTGTGCGTACGCATGCGCGCGCACGCGTAGCTTTCTCTCTCTCTCTCTCTCTCTCTCTCTCTCTCTCGTTCTCTGTCGATTACGTCTTTTTTTGTATACGCTTTTAATACATTTTCTCGCGATTCAGACACGCGTAATGAATTCTCCTGCAGGGATTTATACAGTAACGTCCAATTGAAGTGCAACACTTGAATTTTTGTACATATCTGTGAAAGTATGACAGATTTCGAAAAACCAAAGACAAATTTTTTAGGAAATTTCCTTCCCGTTCAAATGGTAACCGTTTTATCCCGATCGGACGCAAAATGGCCCAATGGCAGGGGTTGGAGTGAAAAAGTGCATTTTGGAACTTTTTGAAAAATTCGAGATCTAGTAGTTCCGGGAGAAAATTTATATTTCTAATCAGAGCACGAGAGAGAGCATCCTTCGGCATTAAAAAAACACCCCCATTGAACCCCTGTAGGATCACTCTAGGGGGAGTTACACCCCCTTGAAGTGAAAACACTTAAATGGCTATAACTTCCGAACGCGCTGGCCAATCTGGTCCAGTTTCTGCATGATATCACCTTTAATGATATTGCAAATACTCACATCATTATTGTTCTCGGAGATGATCCCGTGACGGAGATCTCGAGATTTCGCAAG